GCTTCTCCCTCTCACTCTCCCTCTGTGCTCTCTCTCTCTGTGTTCCTAATAAGTCTTAAAAAAAGAAGTGTGTGCAATATAGAGACTTAGTTTTCTGGAATCAAAAAATTCACATAAACCCTGGAAGCAATTTGAAAAGAAGGACAAAGTGCACATACCCAAAACGGACTTGGAAATGGTGCACTAATCACGAAAATCAAGGTGATTTGCGATGGTCTATGCAAATGCCTCTGGAAACCAGAATTAAAGGGACAATTCCAGGAAAAGCATGCACTACCAAAATTTAGCAAAGTAAATGTCCCTAAACCAGTTTCAATGATGAAATTTGGAAAGATCTACATAAAAATGCTCCAGCTCATAGAATGCTTAACTAAGTTCTCTGAAACCTACAAGGATCCCTCAAGGTATTGATATTATTCAGAGCTTGTGGCAAGGAGAAATACCTCCAAATGATTTGTGAGAGCTTCAAAAGAATCATTTAAAATTCTATTTAAATATCATGGGAAAAGGGTTCTTCCAACTTACAGGAATATCACTGCAAAGAATATGAACATTGAGGGGTGCCTTGGTGGCCCAGTCAGTTGAGCGTCTGACCCTTGATTTCAGCTCAGGTCTTGATGTCAGGGTCATGAGTCCAAGCCCCTGTGTGGAGCCTAGTTAAAAAAAATTTTTTTTCTAAAAAAAAAAAAAAGAATATGAACACTGATGAAGCAAATAGCCCATCAGTCACTACATCACAATAGTGCACCTGAAAAAGTGAGGTTAATTTAAGGAATTTCAAATGCACACTGTGGGTCATTTATATGAATAGAGAGACAGGAAGTGAAGGATCTGACAGGAAGTGAGGGGACTCATTGCTAGTTACCCGGAGACCCCAAACTCAGGTGGCCGTGAAGACATACACGCATCTGGATTTCTAATCAACACACGGTGCCTGTTGTTTTGGTTCTGAGTTTGTTTTTGTTTTTTGGGGGGGGGTTTCTCATTAAAAAAAAATTTTTTTTGGTAGATTTGGTTCTTGCTATGATTGGCACAAGAGCAATCTGTGGTGTATTTTCTGCACCAGATCAAGAGAAAATTGTATATTCTGTAACTCACGCTACCAACCCCATACTTTTCACTGCAAGCGTGGCTAATTATTGGCTGCAGTATCTCTTCGGGTTAATTTATGCACGCCTATTTCTTGTTTCCGAGAAGCAAAAATAAGGCACAACACCGGGGCTGTGAAAACCCGTAATCTGAGCTGTCAGCATCGCCTCCCCACAGTTAGAAAGCCTGCAAGTTTAATCTCATCGTTCACGCAAATTTAGAGACTTAAGAGAAGGTATCTGGGTCTGAGCTCTTTTCTGCACCTCGGTGACAGACTTGCAAGGAGTGGTCCCCTGTGGGGATCTGTGGTTTCCCAACTTGGTACAAAAGTCATGCCTCCAAGAAACCTTAACCCTCTCTCCTTATCTGCAGCAATCCCATAAAACGTGGTTTCCTGGGTTCATCTTGTCAAGATCATCTTTTGCTTTACTTTAATGGCGGCTGTCCACTTGGCCGTGTTTCAGACAAGGACTGGATTTGCTCATATCGGATTTTGCAGGTTTTGCCCAACGCCTACTTCCTTTGTCTCAAAGGGTCAGATCCCCAGTTGATAGCTTGCTTGCTGTCCTCGGAAGGAGTGACTCATCCGTTCCTTTCTCCCTCACAACCTTGAGTAAAGCTGGAAAAGTCAGTTGCAGGTCTTGACACGTCTCTGTGAACTGAACAGAGGGGAAGGCATTTTCCACTTGGCTTGCTTTTGATGGAAATGAACATAGCATGAAGATAGGAGGCGGGGAGGGGCAGGTACAACTTTTTTAAAAGGGACAAGCCCTCAGGCGATGCCCGCGTCAACTCCTTGCTTCTCAATTCCCTTTGGAGGAGCAAAGCTGCATGGGTATTTTCTCGGCAGGAAAGACATCAGGAAAACATCTGTAGGGTAGCTACAGCAGAGATGCTGAGCATTAATGGTGAGGTAGAGCTTGACATGTCAGTCCTGCTGCCGTGCACCGTCAAATGAGGGCATCAAAATCGGGAATGAAATAATATAAGCAGGCACAAGAAGGAGAAGGGCACCTCACCCCTATCTGCCCACGGGAAAGTCCCTCTGGAAAATGAGCATGTTTGCTAATACGGCTTGACTTCTGCCCTGCTGTACACTCCGCACCCAGAAATTCTGGAATGACAGTGATCCACAGTGACAATTCAAGAGCACAGCAGATCAAAGAAATATCCTTCCCTGTAGAAACGAACACAGAACCCCAGTTTTGACCTTATGCTCTCATCTCATCAAGTATAAGAATATTGCCAGTCCTCTGAGTCTTTCCCATAATATATAAAGAAGTGCTATGTGATTTCGCCTTGACGTAGGATTTTTCTCACTATACTACATTGTTCCTTTAATAGGTCCCAAATCATTATACGGGCAGTTGCCAGGAAAAAAGTCACTGGTGTTATTCTCCGTTTGTAATTATGATTGCATTCCACTGTCAAAAAGTCAAAGCACGTGAGGGTATTTATTTCGTATTTGTGTAACGCTGCGAAATAAGACCGTAATGAATTCACAGGTTGACAAACTTCCTTGGAATGTGAACAGCTGTATGAACCAAACACCTTAAACGATTTCAATCACATTGATTTGAAATGGAAGAAGGAATTGCATGCTCCTGTCATGACTGTGAATTTTTTTAACCAGGTATAGAATTTCTATCTTTGTCGGTCTCTCATAATATCCGTCAAGTGCCAGGGGATAAATACGTTTTTGTTAAACAACTGACTGATGATGAAGTTCATGAACAGACTGTGGTGTTTTCTTCCCAGTTGTAGGAGTCAATGAAGGATTTTTTTTTTTTTTTAAGTATTGGTTTTTTATATAGTTTTCTGATTTGGCCCCTAAAAAAATTTTAGGATTAGACCTGATAGGAACCAGGGTATCTGAATATGCAAACACCGGGTGTTTGTTTGTTTGTTTTTTTGCTCTTTTGTTTTGTTCTCAATGACCTGATAGGAACCAGGTTTATCTGAATATACAGAATAGCAGGTGGTGGATTGTTTGTTTTTTGCTCTTTTGTTTTGTTTTGTTCTCAGTGAACTCTGACGCTGAGGCCGAGCACTTCTTTGACCGGGGTGAGTGACCTTTAACTACTCAGACAATGCTTCAGTCTAGACTGGCTCACACAGTGACAATAGGATCACCTGCCCATGCCTCGGCTGACCCGCATTATCCCCACTGCTGAATATAAATGTCACTGCAGGCTTTTGAGACCCTGAAGTGAAACACTTCTTTTATCTCTCTATTGTTCACATTGCTGTATATTGACCGAGATTCAGAACTTTGCAGGAGGCAGGAGGTGGTGGTGGTATTGTGCAATTTATCAAGGCACACGTATTAAAAGAAAAAGAAAAAACCACTTAGTTTACAAAAATAGAAGTGTTAGAAAGCAGTGGGAAACCCAGTCAGTCAGGTAGGAGAAGAACCTCAGAGGGGAGGGTCTTAGGAGTCCCACAGAGCAGGTAGGAAACTGAGGCAGGGTTCTGGCTTCAAGCAGTGGGGACCAGCACAGGTGAGCCCGTAGAAAGGGTGAGGACAGGATACAGGGAATGGAGGAAAAGATGAAGACCCAAAAACCAGAAGACTACCTCTGGCAATATGGCTGGACCCCGTTCTGAGGGCCCAGTGCCCATGTTAAAGAAGTGGCAACATATGTTTAATGTTGTAGTGGGGTGAATAGTGGCCCCCCAGAAAGACAGATCCACATCCTGACCTCCAGGAACCTGAGAATGGGGTCTTATTTAGGAATATGGTTTTTGAAGATGGGATTAAGTGGAAGATCTGAGAAGAGGTTGTCCTGGATGACAGTGGCCAATGACAGGTGTCCTTGTAAGAGACAGACACAGAGAAGGAGCCACGTGAAGATGGAGGCAGAGATCGGAGGGACATGGCCACAAGCCCAGGGATGCCTGGAGCCCCAGAAACTGGAAGAGGCAGGAGGGACCCTCCCCTGGAGCCTCAGAAAGGATCATGGCCTGGATCCCCGCCTGGATCTCAGCAGCCCTGCCCCGCCTGGATCTCAGACTTCTGGCCTCCAGAGCTGGTGGAGGGGATACACTTCTGTAGTTTAAGCACCGAGTTTGGGGTACTTGATTAAAGCTGCCCCAGGGCCAGGGCACACATACAGATATCATCCCTGATTTGGGGGATGATGAAATTTTGAGAAAGTTAAGACACTTAACAGAAACATCCTAGAACATTTAGAGAGAGACAAGGAATCCGTGCAGGAAATGTTGTTTTGGAGCACCCATTAGACCCTGTGAAAGCTGATGTTTTGGGGAGTGGAGGGGCTTTTTGACTAGAAAAGAACAGAAAAGAAGAAAAATGAAACCCCCACGGGGCACCCCTTTGAAGGAACAGCAGAACCAGTCACTCAAAACTGAAAGACAAAGATGAATTAGAGGTATTAAGAAAAGATTTATGAATAACATGGGAAATAAGCCCAAATTAGCCTGAGAGGGAGAAAATCCTGTCTGCAGAGCCCCATCTGGTGGCCAGGAGGACTCACTCTGGGCTTTGGGCAGTGGCACCAACTCACAAAAACACGGAGAACTCATGAAAACCTGAAATATAAGAATGGGGGAGGCTTTGGAGACCATTTGCAGAGTCCTCTGACTTCCAGATGAGGAATAGGAAGCCCCACTTATAAACACCCCCCGCGCTTGGTTACTGTGCTGACCCCCGGAGCCCATGTCCCTGCATAGCCAACCCTTTCTCTGTTGGCAAGTGAGGGTCAACACCTGTGAAATGCATCATCAATCCCTTTTATAAAAAGGAGACTCTTCTTTTTTTTTTTTTAAGCAAAGAGTTCTACTCAACATTAAAACTGTAAATTCCCATTTGCATACATGATAAACCCTATCTTAGAGTGATGTGTTCTGGCTTGTGAAAAGATCCATTCCAATGTGACTCTCCTAGGTAAATCTGTCGGTGGATAGAGTCTCCCGAGCCCACTGTTTCCTTGCACGATAATGGAAATTCAGCCATCAGACAAGTTAGGACGGTGACTTCTGGTCTACCCAGGAGATTAAGGTAATATTTTTTATTCTTTTTCTTTTAAGTTTTTATTTAAATTCCAGATAGTTAACAACAGTGTAATATTAGTTTCAGATGTACAATATAGTGGTTCAACAATTCTATATATTACTCAGTGCTCATCATGGTAAGTGCCCCCCTTAGTCCCCATCACCTATTTCACCCATCCCCCACCCACCTCCCCTCTGGCAACCATCAGTGTGTTCTCTAGAGTCAAGAGTCTGTTTCTTGGTATGTCTCTTTTTTCTCTTCACTCATTTGTTTTGTTTCTTAAATTCCACATATGAGTGAGATCATATGGTATTTGTCTTTCTCTGATTGACTTATATCACTTGCATAATACCCTCCAGTTCCATCCATGTCGATGCAAATGGTGAGTATTCATCCTTTCTGATGGCTGAGTAATATTCCATTGTATATATGGACCACATCTTCTTTATCCATTCATCTGTTGAAGGACATCTCAGCTCCGTCCACACTTTGGCTACTGTGGACATTGCTGCTATGAACATTGGGGTGCACGTGCCCCTTCAAATCACTATATTTGTATCCTTTAGGTAAATGCCTAGTAGTGCAATTGCTGGGTTATAGGGTAGATCTATTTTTAACTTTCTGAGGAGCCTCCATACTGTTTTCCATACTGTTTCCCTTTCTCCACATCCTTGCCAACACCTGTTGTTTCCTGTGTGGTTAATTTTAGCCGTTCTGACTGGTATGAGGTGATATCTCATTGTGATTTTGATTTCTATTTCCCTGATGATCAGTAATTTTTTTTCCTTTTAATCAGCTGATATGTCCATAGTTATTGTGAATGGTCTTCGCAATGTATCTATTAGTGTTGTGTTTACCAGCATTCTTGAAGCCTGATCTTCACTTTCATTCTTAGAAACTTTCCATTCTAATAGTATTCCTCTGATGAGTCTCTGGCTACTGAGAACCTGGCATACCAGGGACCAGGAAGGGGACAGAGGGAAAAGATCCACATCATCACCTGGGAAGGTATGGCAACACAGAGGTGAGCTCTGCGTCCCTCAGCACACTGCCTGGGGCTGGCTATGCCTCCATGACTTTGTTTGCTTCACACCTCCTCTGCCCCCCATGGCTCACCTAACTATTCCCCAGATTTTCTTTTCTGGATTGTCGGGGTATGACACTTACGGGCCCCACACCTATAAATAATGCAGAACTCAAAAGACAACACCGCACATAATAGTCTGCCGGTTTTAATAACGACTCCATCCTTGCGTGTTGATTACTACCAGATGGTCAGAGGCCATTAAGCAAGCCAGCTGAAAACCACAATAAATCCATGGGAGCAACGGGGTAGAGAGGGAGCCAGGCTTTTACACCATGGGAGGGACTCTTCATTCAGTAGTAAACAAGAAGCCAGGCTGGTGTCTGCAGACTTCTCATGGCTCTCACATTATTCGTCCAGCACTCGCTTCCTCCTGTCCCTCTCACTCAGGTATTGATGCTGCATTGCATCTCTTCCCCTGGCACAGCAAACTGACTTTGTTCATTGGTGGAGAAATGCCTTTCCTCCACTTGTCTACTGTCCAGATTCTTCGTACGCCTTCCACCCTGCTGTGGGTTGAATTGAGTCCCTGTCTCTTTCCAAAATAATGCTGAAATCCTAAACCCCAGGCCCTGTGAATGTGACTCTATTTAGAAATAGGGGCTTTGCAGATGATCACATCAAGGTGACATCACGAGGGTGGGCTCAAGTCCAATATGACTGATGTCCTTATAAGATGAAGAGAAGAGACCGAGATAAACACCAACAGAGAGAAGTCCGAGTGAACACATAGGCGCACAGGGGACATGATGTGGACCTGGAAGCACAGATGGGGTGTAGTGTCCCCAAGCCGAAGACCATGAGCAATGGCTGGCAAACACTAGATGCTTGCTGAAGGCACACATAGAATACTCTCCCTGAGCCTCTAGGAGGAACCACCCCTGCCCACACCTGGACTGCCCATCTCCAGCCTCCAGAGCCAAGACAGGACACGTCTCTTGTCTTACGCCCTCTGATCTGTGGCACCCTGTGATGGCAAGCAGCCATGAGGAAGTCACTAAATGTCCCGACACAGATGCCACCGCTCCGTGAAGCCTTCTCTGACATGGCTGGTGCAATTGGCTGTGTCTTCTTGTGTGTTCCTGCAATATTCAGATCATAGTGTCCTGGAGCCAAGTCACTTGGAGTCAAACCTGAAAATCTCCTTGGGGGTGGATCATGGTGGTGGGGGGTGGAGATGCGTACTCATTGATCTTCCCAGAGGGGCCCTAGATGTCCATCCTGGGACCAATGACTGCAGAGTTGGTTGGTGCGTCACCCAATGGACTCTTCATTAACTGTACACATGGTCTAGTTCTGCCCTTTCTGAAATGAACACGTCACCCTTGTAGTCCATCCTTTCCCTGCCATCACTGCCCTTGTTCCTCCTGTCCCACACGTGCCTCTTACACTGGCTCCTGCCTCCACAGGACATGGCATACACCCAGGTGAACCATGTCGCCATCACTAAATACAAAGAGCACCAGTCTGCATCTTCTTAACCCCCTTGTGGCGTTGGTGGTACCTTTTTTTTTTTTTAAAGATTTTATTTATATATTTGTTTAGAGAAAGAGCATGAGTTGGGGGGAGGTGGGGAGGAGCAGAGGGAGAGGGAAAAGGAATCTCAAGCAGACTCCATGCTGAGCACAGAGCCTGACGCGGGGCTCCATCTCACGACCTTGAGATCATGACCTGAGCCGAAACCAAGAGTCAGAGGCTCAACTGACTGAACCACCCAGGGGCCCCCATGTTGGTGATTCTTACTTTAAAGCTTAGTCACTTTTATGGTTGCCGATCCCCATCCACCCACTCTAGCCATTCTGCTTCTTCTCTTTTTCTATCTTGGTGTGAAATTTGTATAACATAAAAAAAAAATCAAAGTGTTCAGTGGTGTTGAGCACGTGCACCATGTTGTGCAAAGACCACCTGTTGTGCCAGAGCATGACCCCAAATGGAAATGCTGCACCCATCAAGTATCCTTCCCCACCCGCCTCCCTCCTACCCCTGGACGCCAGTACTGTTTTCCTCTCTGTGGATTTCCTTATTCTAGGTACTGCGTATAAATGCAACCATGCAATGTGTGGTCTTCTGTGTCTGGCTTCTTTTACTTAATGCTTTCAAGGTCTGTCCACATTGTAGCATGGGCTAAAGTGTCATTCCTTTTCATGCCTGAGTAATATTCCGCTGTACGGCTAGACCACATTCTGCTTATCTGTTCATCCATCCGTGGACATTTGAGTTGTCTCGACCTTTTGGCTGTCGTGAATAATCCTGCTATGTAGATGGGTGTGGGAGTTTTATTTCCTACACCTATTCCCAGTTTTGGGGCAGGTATATATTTACGAGTAGAATGGGTGGGTCATAGGGTGACTCTACGTTTTCACGTTTTTGGCACTGGCAAGCTCTGTCTTGATCACTTTTCCACACCTGGCACTCTGGTCCCTGGCTCCTGGGTCTGGTCCTGTTATCTTTTCATTGCCCACATGCTCACATTTGTGGTTGCCATTACGTTCCAAACCCCATGTGCCCACGTTATCCCTGGAACTCACTGCATGCAAAACCAACTGACCCTTTTGGGTCTTCTCCTGGCCCCAGAAGAAACATCATACATGCTTATTTCTATAGTTTGCCTTGAGATGGTCATCTGCCTCACCTTCCAAATCTAGTTCCCCTCTTGTGTTCCTGATCTTAGCCAATGGAACCTACTGTCCCCCTAAGTGCCTCATGTAGGGTTGTGGAGGTCTCCCTTGCATCACTAAATTCTTCTCATGAATTATAGATTCTGTCTCCTAAAGGCATCTCAAGTCGACATTCCTCTTCCAGCATGTCATCAGGGTGCTGCTGTCTCAGTGAGTACCTTTTTATCTGTGCCACCAATGCCTTGGACCATTCCAGTACCTTCCAAGGTGGTTCCTTGGTCCTGTGTCCTCTAAGCCTCCGGTTGAGAAGCCATTCAGGGGCATCTTTCTAAAAACACATTCAAATTGCATGTTCCCAGGTTGGCCTCCCCAGCGAGGTGGCTGATATGATCATCTTTATTCACACACCTGTCTCTAGACCCTAGAAAAATGTGTAGTATAAGATATGTCTTCAGTATGTGTGTATGAGCAGGTGCATGCTATTTATATAGCTCAAAAGGACATCCGGCAGGTGTCCACTCACACCACAGGTAGATGTGCTCATCCTTCTAAGGGGAAGTTCAAACACCAACACACAATTCCACTTTATCTTCAACAAGCACCCTGACCCAGTTAGCTCCTGCTTTACTCCCAGCTTCAGCATGAACATTCAAAGTACTGTCTACACATTTTCGCTTCTCTCCAGTTAGGATGTGGATTTCTGATCTGTATTTCCTTTCTGGCTTTTTTTTCCCATTTGGAATGTGTTTTTTTTAATCAAGTTTTTTATTTTAATTGCACTATAGTTAACATCCAGTGTGATATTAGTTACAGGGGTACAATCTAGTGATTGAACACTTCCATCCATCACCCGGTGCTCTCCATTCTGACTTTTTACACACACAGGGGTGCCATGTTATTCTGCTTTGGTGATGGCAAATTTCATGTATCATTTTCTTCCCAGATCTTGGCAAACCACTTTTATTTAAACTCTTGCTCCATCTATCCGGACTCACTCATTCATTCATTCATTCATTCACTCATTCATTCAGCAAAGTCAAGTTTTACCGAGGGATCTTGGATAAGGATCAAAGTGCTTTCTTTGTGAAATGTAGTTGTTTTTGCTCTGAAATCTTACTTTGTGTCATTCGCAGGAAGATACAGATGTTCCTGGTTTCCTTGTCCTTTGCTATCCCCCAAAGCCTTCAATTCTTTGAGGGCATAGACTGTGGATTATTTGCCCCAAACACCCATGTGGTGCTCAGAACCTAATGGAGATGATTGGTGCCAGAAAACATGGCAGACAAATGCAGGAAGAGGATGGA